GGAATTTCAATGGCTTTACCACGAGCTTCATTTTTCATTTGCCGAATGGATTATTGCGATATGTCGTTTCTTTACTTTTCGAACCATTTCTGCTGATGTCCCTGTTTTCTTCCGTCCACTCCCTTGACGTCGGGCTACGCTACCAGTATCACGGTATCAGCAGAAATGGTTCGAAAAGTAAAGAAGCGCCTTGATCGAAACCCGCGTCGCAGTGGCCGAAAAATGGCTCGTGAGCTGAACATATCGCAATATTCCATTCGGCAAATATGGAAAAATGATTACCCCGAGCTCATTAAAATTCCAAAAAGTGCAAGAACTTACACCGCAACGGAAATAAAACAGACTCAAAAGAGCTAGTTGCTTCGCTTGGCCGAAAGTGGTGAACTGCCGAAAATGTGCACCATCGGGTGGCCACCAGAACTCTAGCGCCTGGTGTGGGCCGCCATAATATCCGATGGTCGCTCTCCGCTCGTATTAATCGACCGTGGCATCAGAATAAATGCTGAATATTATAGCGAAAATATTCTGGGGGGTGTTTTAAAACCTTGGGCACGCAAACATTTTGGCCACAGACCTTGGACATTCCAACAGGACTCAGCACCATCGCACTCGGCACACGCCACCCAAGAATGGTTGCTAAAATGCGGTTCATCACAAGGTTACCTTCTAAATTCTGTCAAGCCCAGTTCTAATTACATTCCGGTTTTGGTTTGTTTCCAAATAAAACACCATTACACATTTGGACTGTACAATATTAGTTGCTGTTGTTTTTATTATTATTTTTATTTTTCACAATTTTTAAAATATTTTTAATTATTATTATCATCGTGTGTTTTACGTTATATTTTTCTTTGTTATAATTTTTTAAATTGACATTCTAGGATAATATATGTGTGTATGTATTTATGTTTATGCGAAATATTATCGAGTGTATGTGTGTGTTAAAATTGTATTTTTCTCATAGCTTCGTTCAAAATCAGATGGACACTTAATCACAATTAGAAATGTGTGGCATTCTGTGTGTTCACAGTGCATACTTTTAGGCGTCTAATGTAAATTTCTTCCATAAACATGTGTGTGGCAATACATTGTAATCTCGTCATAGTTTTGCATTCTAAAATTTTGCCAGACTTATATGAAATAATTTTATGATAATAATTAATAAAAATAAACATATATTGTTTTTTTAATTTTTAATTAAAGTATTTTAAGTAAATATTTGTTATACTTTTTACATAGATTTATATTAATACTATTTCGTAGACAAATTACAAAACAAAAATAAAATATGTGGCAAACAAAAAATTAAATATGGCAATTATTTAAATCTACTTTCGTTAAAGATATTTTGATTATTGTTGGTTGGCTTGGATTCGCTTGTAGGGCGGGATGGAGGAGAAACAGTGTACATAGTAGAGGGGGACAATTGCTTATTGAAGTTCCTTGTAATGCTGCAGGAGGAGGTAATATTTATAAAGGTTAACATATAAAATTCACAATTATGTATTTTGACACCAGATGGAGATATTGACCGACCTTATATAGGCCTTGTTGTAGACTTCTGAACAATGTTTGAATTCAGGTTCGCATTCGTTGCATTTTCTTTGTGTTTTAAATATTTATTTTTTAATTTGTTTAATTAAAAATTTATTTCCAAAGAAAACGGTTGTTCGTTTTTTTACTTTTTTTGCTTATTCCATTTCGCATTAAAGTGCTTCATATGTGCAGTTCGTTCGGCTTCATTTCGGATTTAGGAAAATGTTTGAAATTAAAAACTATTTTGATTGTATTTGTATGTCACATCTAAATCTAAGAAAATTCATTGAAAAAATTTCTAAAAACAATTAAAAAAAGAGATATGGAAAAATAATATACACAAGGCAATTAAAACAAATTAGGAATAGTAATAAATAAATGCAGTTAGTATGATAATTTGATAATTGATATGAATTATTATTTATGTATTTATTACATATAAGAAGTAAGACAAAACTAAAGCATACTATTAGGCGGGGATTTTGGGCTTTGATTGTGTATGTTTCACAGAGTGTATCTCTCTCTCTCTCTCTCGGTAAGCGTTGCCTGTGTTAATTCTATGCGAAATTGAAAATCATGAATAATAAAACACAGAATTTGAAAGGACCTACTGACCAAAATCAATTTTTTCAGGAAGGAAAAATTCTTAGGTTTTGAGAAATTGTTTTAAGGATTTTTAAGAAAATTAAGAAAAAATTTCTGAGGACCTCATGATCAGAAATCTTGGATTTTTTAAGAAAATTTCTTTCCAAGAACTTTATGACTGAAATCGATTTTTTTGAGGAACATCCGGCAAAAAATCCAGATTGTTTAAAAAACAAAATTAAAGGACATACAGATCCAAAATCGATTTTTGACCAAAAAAAGTTCTTACGTAGATTTCTTTAAGAGCAAAATTTCCAAGAACTGCACAACTAAAATCGGGTTTTTGAGGAACTTTCGACCAAAAATTCTGAATTTTATAGAAAACAATTTTAAAGGTCCTCCTGAGCTGAAATCAACTCTACCATTCTGTATTTTTAAATTGTTAAAATTCTTAAAAGAACATTTTTTCAAGGATAATTTATTGTAGACGTTTTAAACAAATTCTATTGAAATTTAATTGTTTCTAAAAGTATCTCTTTCATGAACCAATAATCGTGAATTTTTAAGACATTTCTAAATATCGTAAACCTTTTACACAAAAATATTCAATGACATTCCGACAAAAAATTGTGAATTTTTTAAGTAGAATTTTTCATGAACCTCCTGGCCAAAGAGTAAAATTTTTGTTTAGATTTTTTTAAAGACACTTGGATTCTGCAGAAATTTCTAGGACCTCATGAAAAATAAAATATATATAAATAAGTAAAAAAACAACACTAAGTTCAGCCGGGCCGAACTTTGAATACCCTCCACATTTGAAACCATTAAGACCCACAAATACCAATTTTTAGATATATTCATGGGAAAATGTGGCAAAAATCATTAAAACACAAAAAAGTGAGGTACCGCTATATGGGGCTATGCAAAAACGTGGACCTATACATACAATGTTTCGCTACCGGAGCTAAAAACCATTATGACCAACAAATACCAATTTTTAGACAAATCCATAAAAAATGTGACAAAAACCATCAATATACCGAATAAAGGGAGGTACCGTTATATGGGGGCTATACCAAAGCGGGGACCTATGCATACAATATTTCACCACAAGAACTAGGACCCATTCGGACCCACAAATACCAATTTTCAGACAAATCCGTGAAAAAAATGTGGCAAAAATCATCTAAATACCGAATATTGGGAGGTACCGTTATATGGGGACTATAGCAAAACGTGGACCGATACACCTTATTTTCAATACCAACCATCATAGGAACAAATTTTGACGCTCTACGTCAAATAATGTGGGCTGTATCGTGATTTCAACAGACAGACGGAGAGACAGACAGACTGACATCGTTAAATCGACTTAGAATTTTAGGCTGATTAAAAATACATATACTTTATGGGGTCTACGACGAATATTTAGGGATGTTACAAACGGAATGACAAAGTTAATATACCCTCCTTCCAAGGTGGAGGGTATAAATATAGAACCAAAAACCGTGGATTATTAATAACTGTTTCAAGGTTTAAAAAATATTTTTCTTAGCACTTCCCTTATGTTTTATAAATAATTTTTTTGGAGGATATGCATTTTTTAAAAGGATTCCTAATAAAAACCATTGAGTTCATAAAAAAGTGTTTTCAAGGACTTCCTGCCAAAAGATCCATGAATCCTGTAGCGACAAAAGTTTCTGAGAAATTTTTCTTTTTTCAGTAATTAAAAAAAATATAATTATTGGGATGCAACGCCTACAGCTTTCAATATTTTGAGCTAATTGTTGGTATTGGTAGTTCAAATATACCTACTATCGATGTTCATACATAAATTAGAAATAGGTGATAGCGTTGGTTTTTTTATCCGTGATGATCGAATTCGGAATCACTGTGCAATAAGAAATGTTACTTAAAAATTGATTTTTCAAAACCAAATTCAGTGAATGTGTCCTTTCATTACTCATGAGGCAGTGATTTTAAACGTAAAGCAAATCTCAGCCTAAAAGTATGCTTTACTTCTGATCAATATCATATTTTTTCAGATATTATTCGAAGATAGGGGATTATAAAACGTTAGACTTTGGAAAGTTAAAAAAGACCGAATTAATATTTTGTTTCAATAACGAAAATATGAATCTGTATCACTGCCGGTGGGTCGATAGTAACAAATTTTGAAAAGTTTATTTTAAACATTTTATCTTTTTACTTAAAAACCGATATTTTTAACCATACTTAATTTTAATTTGGCGAAAGGAAAAAATACATTGCATTTATCCTTTCAGAATTGATGCCATTTCTTAAGGCATAACTATTTAACATATAGCCGTTTTTTCAGGCATTTTTTCAGGTATTACTCAAAGATTGCGAATTATTCATTATTGAAAATTAAAAAAGACCAATTTAGAATAAGTGAAAGAGGACCAGAGGACATTCTATATTTGGAAGACCTCTTTTTATAGACAACCTTCTGCAGATCTTACCCCATAGGTCTCCTAAACCTCCAAAAACCTGTCCTCGAATAATATCTTAAAAAATTTCTTGCATAATAATAAATTACTTTTTCATGTATTGCTTCCATATATGTATGTATGTATACTTTAATGACATTATATAGTTAATAATGATATAACTTATTTGGTAATAAAATCTAAATAATATTTATAAAATAATCATTTTATTCTTATTATTTTGTTTATACACATCTAAAACTCATCATTATAGTTTTTGTTGCATTTTGGCAAAGTTTTCAATATCCGGCTTAAAATTAGTTATTTGCATATGTTTGTTGGTTTTGTTTTTTTTTTTTGTTATACGTTACGTTAATTGAGCAAAGTGTTTGTGTGTGTTGGTTGGTTTGTTAAAAATAATACATACATTAATATTATTATAATTATTATTAAATATATATAAAAAAGAAATAAAAATATATTTATAAATTAAAATTTAAAACTGAATGAAAAAAAAAACTATTTTATTCGCATGTACGCGCTCTGCGCTGGAAACGTTTCATGCGCCGATACCATTCATCCTTCCATTCGATAACAATTGAACGTGGACCAATACCCAAATAGCCGGGCGGGGCTTCTGTATCGCGGCCCAAAATTAAATAGGATCTGAAAAGAGTGAAAGAGAGAGGGAAAGTGGAAGAAGAAAATTAAATGTAAAATGTTATAAAAAATTAGGTTAGGTTGAATAAGTAAAAAAGCTGCAAGTTCGGCCGGACCGAACTTTGAATACCCCTTCACCATTTAGAACGACTTTGACAATTCTCAAAAACAATAAAATCCGATGAAAATTCTGTTAAAATCTTAAAATGCCGAATGTAGCTGTTATATTAGAGTCTATGCGACGACATGGACCTGCATAGGTAACTTTTGTCATAAGCCATTACAATATTCAAACGCGAGACTTAAAAAAAATCGGTGAATAATGTAGAAAAAAATCATCAAAATACCGAATATCGGGAGGTACCGTTATATGGGGGCTATACGAAGACGTGGACCTGCACAGACAATCTCCTGTCATAGGCTGTAGCATCCATTACGAACATCATATACCAAATTTGAAAGAATTCCGATGAATATTCTAGCTAACATCATCAAAATACCGAATATCGGGAGGTACCGATATAGGGGGGCTATACGAATACATGGACCTGCACAGACCATCTCCTATCATAGGCTGTAGCATCCATTACGAACATCAAATACCAAATTTGAAAGAATTCCGATGAATATTGTAGCTAACATCATCAAAATACCGAATATCGGGAGGTACCGTTATATGGGGGCTATACGAAAACATGGACCTGCACAGACCATCTCCTATCATAGGCTGTAGCATCCATTACGCACATTGAATACCAAATTTGAAAGAATTCCGATGAATATTGTAGCTAACATCATCAAAACACCGAATATCGGGAGGTACCGTTGACCTCCCGTGACTATACCAAAACGTGGACCTACATGGCTCATTTTCAATACCAAAAGTCCTGCAGACATAATATACATTTGAGTAAAATTTTATCAATCTACTTCAATTCGTCCAGAAGAGTGATTTCCACAGACGGACAGACGGATTTTTGTACATATTTCAATCAACTATGAACCCTACTTACTTTTTCCATTATATACAGAAACCCAGTGCATACATTAAGGCGAAAAATTGTACTTCATTTGAGTTTATGTAAAATTCTCGTACAAAACATAGTTCTAAAAGCATGACATCAGAGACAAATATATTCTTCATCAAATTTCACTATAAGTCACCAAAGAAAAGAAATCTCACTTTTCCACTATATGTCAAGAAAATGTTAGCTGCAATTTTGCCGGAAAACCTCGTTAAAAATTTCTATTTTTCTACAATAAATTTATTTTGGTTGTTGGTGCATTAATGTAACATAAAACTGCATTTTAGACAGAAAGTATCGAAAAAGGAAATATTCTACACTTTCTTGATCATTAAGGCCATTTGAAAATATTTGAATTTAAGTTGACTATCTGCATACTTTCAGGCGACAGTTGATCTCAATTAATTCTTATACCCTCCACCATACGTAGTATGTAGGGTATATTAAGTTCGTCATTCCGTTTGTAACTCATCGAAATAATAATTTTAGACCTAGCAGAGTATATATTTATATATATTGTTTATCAGCGTAAAATTCTAAGACGATTTAGCACTGTCCGTCCGTCTGTTGTAATCACGCTAGAGTCAAAACGAATTGAGATAGGAAGCTAAAATCTGCAGGCAGGTCAAGATATCACGATATCGTATAGCCCCCATTCAACGGTAATACCCCATATTGGGTATTTTGATGATTTTAGGGACATATTTCGAAGATGAGCTATATTGATATTTTTGACCGGAATTATTTCAAATTTCGTATTTAAAGTTTCGACGGCTTCGTATAGTCTCTATATAACGGGTTTCATTTAAATGGTATTTTTCGACGGATTTTTTTTTGAAATTCTGCAAGATCCTTTGAAATGGTGGAGAGTGTTAAAAGTTCGGCCCGGCAGAACTTAGCTGTTTTTTTAACTTGTTGATTCTATTGTTGTAACGATATTTTTTACTGCTTTTACGTCTCTTTTTTGATAAATGAGACCACTTAAAGATTTTATTTATTTCACTTAAAAATATTTAGATTTTCTAATTGACTACTTAAGCGAAAGTGTACCGAGGAAGGTAAACTTCTCTTAAATTAAATTTATTACTGCGTTCTTAATCCCACTCATTGTGCTTTCTGTCACCATTACTTACTTATTCATTTTAATTTTGGGACATCTACACTCCAAATTCTTCATCGGAATGATCCAGGTCATAGGACCGCGTCTTAGTATTGTATTCGTAGTTGCGTACTCGAGCGGTGTTCTCTTGAAAATGGCCTGAATTTGAATGATGAACTTCACGTTGCTGTCCTCCTCCTCCGCCTCGTCGTCGTTCCGCACGCGGCCCATTTCCACGCTGTCGGCGTCGTTCATTCTTTGATTTTCTTTGGTGCTGTACTGCTGTTCGCTGCTCGTCACCTCTGTACTCTGTTCCCGACCAATCACTTTGGCCATTATTGCTAGAATTTTAAAAGCAAAGAAATTAGTAGTGTCTTCTTCTGAAGGCTAGCCGTACTCATACTCACCGTAATCTCTTTTGCAGAATTTGTTGAGGTTTAACCTTTTTGTGCTTATCTTGCATTTTTCGCATTCTGTAAAGAGAGAATAAAAAATTAAATAAGTACTGAATCCAAAAAAATGGTTAGAACTTAGTAATAATTTCAAATTAGTTGTTGCCAAAAGGCTCAGATTAGGAGATTTCTTTAGACATTTAAGCAAGCCATACGGAGGTTAGTTGCCAGAGAAGAGATGCATAAGATGTCTCTTCATTAATAAGATTTCTATGAATTTTCAAAAAAAAAAAAAAAAAAAAAAAAAACAAGTAAAAAATCATTTGGAACGAATTTGAAAATTTTCAAAAAAAAAAAAAATAAAAACCGTTAAAAATTCTGTTACAATCTTAAAAATACCGAATGTAGCCATTATATTATGGTCTATACGACGACGTGGACCTGCATAGTCAACTTTTGTCATAAGCCATTACAATATTCAAATGCGAAACTTGAAAAAATCGGTAAATGATGTAGCTAAAATCATCAAAATACCGAATATAGGGAGGTACTATTATATGGAGACTATACCAAAACATGGACCTGTACCGACAATTTTCTGTCATAGGCTGTAGTATCCATTACGAACTACAAATACCAAATTTGAAACAATTCCGGTGAATAATGTCCCTAAAATCATCAAAATACCGAATATAGGGAGGTACCATTATATGGGGGCTATACGAAGACGTGCACCTGCACAGACAATTTTCTGTCTTATCCTGTAATATTCATTACGAACTTCAAATTTGAAACAATTCCGGGGAATAATGTCGCTAAAATCATCAAAATACCGAACAATGGGAGGTTCCGTTATATGGGGGCTATATGAAGGCGTGAACCTGCACGGAAAATTTTCTACCATAGGCTGTAGTATCTATTACGAACTTCAAATACAAATACAAATACAAATACGAGGTGTTACAAACGGTATGACAAATTTAATATACACACCATACTATGGTGGAAGGTATTAAAACAGTTGCATACTTTCAGGAGAACCCATTTTAAACAACTGACAATAATGATAATAGTTTGTTGCATCCGATTAACTGGATGTCCAAGGTAATTTCAAATAATGGTGCATACTTCAAGGAGACATTGTGAAAAACAGATGAATACAGTGATCACCTGATTTTATACCGTGAAAGAGAATATTCAAAACACTTGGAATGTGAAAACAACAAAAACACAAAAGGTGCAGATTTTAATGGACTGTATATTTTTATACCATCAACGACAGTATAGAGGGTATATTAAGTTTCCGTTCATCATTTCGTTTGTAACACCTCGAAGTATACATTTTAGACCCTTCAACCCCCCTCAAGATATTCGGTATTTTCATGATTTGTGTCACACTTTTCATCGCAATTGTTTCAAATTTGGCATTTAGAGTTTGAAATGGGTACTAACCCCTATGACAGAAAATTACTCATACATATAGCCTCCATATCTTCGTATAGCCTCCATATTACGGTAATTCCCAATATTTGGTATTTTGATGATGTAAAATTGGTATTGGGAGCTCATAATAGGCGCCATCTTCTCTGTCAGATAATTGACTGTAACACACCAGACCCAATGAACCCTAACACCTGATATTCGACCCAAGCATCATCTGGTGAATTGTTTTCCATAGAATAAACATTGGGCCCAAGGTTCGCCTTGCGATTTTTTTCTATAGAGAAACTCAGAGAAATCATTTCATTCCATTCCCTCCCATTTAAGGAGAACCCATTTTAAACAACTGACAATAATGATAATAGTTTGTTGCATCCGATTAACTGGATGTCCAAGGTAATTTCAAAGAATGGTGCATACTTCAAGGAGACATTGTGAAAAACAGATGAATACAGTGATCACCCGATTTCATATGGTGAATGAGAATATTCAAAACACTTGGAATGTGAAAACAACAAAACCACAGAAGGTGCAGATTTTAATGGACTGTATATTTTTATACCATCAACGACAGTATAGAGGGTATATTAAGTTTCCGTTCATCATTTCGTTTGTAACACCTCGAAGTATACATTTTAGACCCTTCAACCCCCCTCAAGATATTCGGTATTTTGATGATTTGTGTCTCACCAATGACAGAAAATTACTCATACAGGTCCATACCTTCGTATAGCCTCTATATTACGGTAGTTCCCAATATTTGGTATTTTGATGATGTAAAATTGGTATTGGGAGCTCATAATAGGCGCCATCTTCTCTGTCAGATAATTGACTGTAACACCCCAGACCCAACGATCATCTGGTGAATTGTTTTCTGTAGAAAAAAACATTGGGCCCAAGGTTCGCCTTGCGATTTTTTTCTATAGAGAAACTCAGAAACTCAAAAAAAAGAAAAACGAAAATTGAAATCAAGTAGCGAAAATGAAATCTTAATTATGGTGTTGATGTGTAAAATTACTTTGATTACAAAAGGGAATTTCTTATGGCCCAGCCTCCATTGCAGTTGTTGTAGAGAATTTCTGAAACGAAAACTATTTTTATAGAAAACCAAAAGCGAAAACAAGTCCCATTACACTTGAAATAGCTACGGCCTCCCTCCCTTATAATACCGACAAAAGTCTTACCACTCCCATGGGGAAAGAAACCAAATCGCTTGGTCTATGGCTGTCTATTTCCACTTCAAAGTACGAAACAAAGCCAAAAACAATTTGACGATATTTTTAACAAATAATTTTCATGTTCAACATAGATGCGGTGTTTTTCATTTGTCGCGTAAAGAAAATTCATGTAATCATCGGATGGCCATGCGTGAATATTCGTCTGATTGTCTGCGGTGTAACATAATGAAGATGACAAAACTGGGAGAAAACAAAAAAAAAAGTGGAAAAAATACCCAAAATAAAATTTATAACCTGTAGATGAAAAGCACGACAGATGGACAGACAGGGCGACAGCAGCATGAATAAAATGCGTAAAATTCATACAAATGACTCATATTTGGTGGTACACTTATTTTTTTTTTTAAACGACTCCTCTAGAAGACCCAAACATTAGGCATCCACACTATTTGCTTTGACTTGTTTGGCGGATGATCGCACATCAGCCAAAAACAAACCAACAAAACAACTGAAACATTTTTTGTTTCTATTTTTAAGTCTCCTTAAAGACAATGATCATCATACACGCGTCATGTGTTCGAAATGAATGAACTCGCAGACTGGCAAGAACTCGATCGGAATGATCGATCCTACCTCTGGCAAGACGTTTTGATAAAAACGCCTCTTAATTGACTTTGAAAAGGCCACTGCCGACATTACCCCGCCAAGGCATGGTATAACATTTGCTGGGATCTGCCATCAAAGAAAATGGCTGGCTAAATAGCTGGCTGTCTGCCTGCTTGCCTAGAGAACGGATGTGTTGGGGTTGTTGATGCCGATGATGATCTTCATTCAATGTGGATGTTTTGATGTTTCACATCGATTTGGTATCGATCCGTTTTATGCTCGAAATGAGTCAATAAAATTCATTGTTTATTAACACCAAACGATTAACGACAACAACAGGGTTGGGGTTAATTTAATGCTCGAAGCATGTAACAGCCGTCCTTTTGGCCCTTTCGTGGCGGGTGATAGGGGTCTACTTGGTTGCACTCCCCCTCCACATCCATTTAAACATATTTGTTAATATCATAATTCCAAACACACAAATTTTAAGACTCAATTTGTTAATTGCCCTTAAGCAATTATGAACATGTTTTTATGGGAATTTCTATTTAATGGAATGCATAATTTGTTTGGAATTTTTGAAATATTTTTCAGATCCATTAGCATGGAAAGAGACTCAGGTAAAAATAGAAAAAAAAACTTAGACCATTTTTATCTATAGAAAAATAATACACACCTTCTACTTAACTGACTCCTAGGACTAATTACTTCTAAGGCAAAATTATATAGCGCTCCATGACTGGATTTTTCTATAGAAAAAAATTTGCGAGACCCCGTGGGGTTTTTTTCTATATAAAAAAATAATCGCCAGACCCCGTGGGGAATAAGTTTCTTCTATAGAAAAAAAACGCCAGACGAACCTTTTTCTATAGAAAGCGAGTAAAAAACACTAAATTCGACAGGGCCGAACTTTGAACACCCTCTACCAAGTGGAACGAATTTGCAAAGTTAAAAAACCGTTAACAGTTATGTTAAAATCTTAAGAATACAGAATATAGGGAGTTACCGTTATATGGAGGTTACCGTAGATGTGCATAGGCAATATTTGTCATAGCCATTATAGTATTCAAATACGAAACTTACAACAATTCCGGTGAATAATGTCGCGAAAATATCAAAATACCGGATATAGGGAGGTATCGTTATATGGTGGCTATACGAAAACCTGTACCTGTATAGACTGCAGTACCCATAAGCAACTTTAAATACGAAATTTTAAATAATTCCGGTGAATAATGTGGCTAAAATCATCTAAAACCCGAATGTAAGCCAGACCCCTTGAGGAGTCCAAGAAAAAAAGTTCAAGTTTTTTCTATAGAAAAAAATTCGCCAGCCCCCGTGAGGGGTTCAAGTTTTTCTAAAGAAAAAAGTTCGCCAGCCCCCGTGAGGGGTTCAAGTTTTTTCTATAGAAAAAAATTCGCCAGCCCCCGTGAGGGGTTCAAGTTTTTTCTATAGACAAAATTCGCCAGCCTTCGTGAGGGGTCCAAGTTTTTTCGCCAGAAAACCCTTGGGTCTAAGTTTTTTTATAGACAAGCATTGGATCCAAGTTTTTTCTATAAAAAAACGCCAAAAACCGAGGTGTCCAAGTTTTTTTTTCTATTGAAAAAATGTTCGGTGGGGACTAAGTTTTTTCTAAAGAAAAAAATTCGGCAGACGACCCTTGTGCCCAAGTTTTTTTCCTATAGACGACCCTTAGGTCCAAGTTTTTTCTATAGAAAAAAAATGGTCCAAGTTTTTTCTGAAGAACAAAAGAAAATCACCAGCCCACCAACCTGGGGTCCAAGTTTTTTCTATAGAAAATAAATTCGCCATACTCTTGGTTCTAATGATTTTCAGTAGAAAGGAATTCGCAAAACC